AGGCGGCGGCGCGTTCGTTGGTCCGCACGACGTCGTCCATGGAGTAGGACTCCGCGGGTCGGGCGATAAAAAAGACGTACTCGCTCTCCTCCTTCGCGCGAATGGGGCGAAACATGCGCTGGGTCTCGTCCAAAAGGGCCTGGTAGCGCGCGATCAGGCGGCGGAAAGGGTGCAGGGCCTGCGCGTCCTCGAAGGCGCGCAGACGCTCCGCGACCAGGCGCTGGCACTCGAGATTGAACTTCACATCCGACCCGGTCCGGGACAGCGTGGCGCTTCCTTTTGCGGGATTGGGCCGGGGTTTGTTGGATTTACGCTTCGGGGCCGGGCCCGAAAAAGGGGCCGTCGGGCGCGGGGGGGGGGCCATGCGGTCGACCTCGCGGATCGCCTCTTGGGTGGCGGCCTGCAGGGCGGCCGCGTCCATGGCCTGGCGGGCCGCCTGAAGCTCCTGGAGCTCGCCCACATCGTCGGTGAAGTAGGTCAAGGCATCGCTCACCCACGACCGCACCGCCCCCCCGGTCGAGAGAAGCCCATTCTCACTGCTCATTTCGGTCTTGGTAATACAAATTAATTCACACTAAACGGGGCCTTGTTGGCGGCGTGAAACCCACAACAAAGATGTCGCGCAAAAAAAAAAATGTGAAAGAAATGGGTGGGTTCACGGAAAACTACTCCAATAATAGTAATAATCATAATAATAAGAGCCCTTGCCAGCACATGAAGTCGAACAATAAGGCAGGATAAATCCATAGAATGTCATTGTCTTTAACAAGAAAAAAAACATACACTATATGCCGTTCATAAAATTTTGCATTTGTTATGATTATTTAACATATAGTAAAGGAATAAACCACAGACTAGGAAAGCAACGAAGCTCATCTACCAAACTAAAAAATAAAAATCGTTAGACAATCTATTCATCTCACACCAATTCGGCCGAAAGCGGAAAGGAACAAACGACAAAGGAAGAAATATCAGGTGCATCACGACATCCTGACTCTCCAAGGGTATGCATGGACTGAGATGCACTCAATTTTCTTCCCTGGAAATCATTTTGGACTATCATCCCTGGTAACCTCCACACCCTCTTTTTCTTGGCTGAAGAACCCCTCATAGGCCTCGAGAAGGTCCGAAACCGAAAGCTGGAACTCCTCCACACACATTTGCAGATCACGCAATAAGATGCGGCCCCTCCGCGCATCGTCCTGGGAGGGCGCATCGGGGAAGGAGGTGCAAAAGGATGGCCCGTGCGAATCCGCCGTCCGCCCCTCCCCTCCCTCGGACGCCAGCAGGGGCTCGATGTCGGACTCCATTTTCTCCCACGGGATATAAAAGAAAAGCTCATCCATCAACATCTGGATCTTCCCTTTGGCAAAGCGACGGCAATGCGTTTGTCGTTGAGCGGCGGCGGAAGGGGAGGCGGGGGTGCTAAAATCCAGCGGGGGAAGCCCACGTACCATCGCCAAACAATGGCGTAAAATCATCGTGGACCAACTCAGCGCATCCGCCGCCCTTCCCAAATGATGGGAGGCCAACGTCGACTGCGCGAGGTGCGAGGCGAGCGTCGAGGACGCCCTCGGGGCCGGCTTCGCCGGGGTTGCGGTGGGATATTCCTCAGGAATTAAGCCCTGAGGGTGGGATAACGGTTGAGCAGAAGCATCGGGCAGCTTTTGCGACCGCGCCGCGAGTCCGGCCTGCTCCATTACTTTTCGAACGGGCCGTGGGAGGCTGTGGGTAAGCTCGGGAAAGGATTCATACGGCAATAACCGCACGCGAACCCGCTTGGGTCGCTGCCGGCCCAGAAGGTGGGTCACCTCCCCGGCGATTCGCGGACGATACAACATCAAACGATCCAAATACGCCTCTAAATGATCGCGAATGATACCACACCGCCCGATTACGCCTGAATCGGGAATTGCGGAATGCCGGGATTCGGTCCCGCATTCCGCAATTCGTGTTTTGGAAGGCAGTAAATCCTCCAAGTGGCCAGGGCGAACGACCTCGACGAGTCCATCATCGCTTAAAAGCCGCGCCCGCTGCTCTAAATAAGTCCCGACGTGATTGAGCACATCGCCAAGCGCCTCGCTAATCAGACGGACCAAAAAAGAAGCACTCATCCACAAGATGAGGCTTCTTTCATGATCCTCGTCCGGCCTTCTAAAAGGGGCCGCTTCACTATTGCCGTCCTCAGCAATAACAGAGGCCCGGGGAGTCACATCGGCCTCGATGATTTCGTCAGAATTCACGTCGTTCACACTTTCCGAATTGCCGTCCTCCGCCCTTGTTTTGCCGGACTTCAAAGACGCATGAAAGCGATGAGGGTGGGATTCCCCCCGCATCCGCTCGACAAAGTTCGCCATGGTGGGCTCGTCAATCCGCAGGGTATGGCGAAGAAAAAGATACTTCGAGGCGTACGCCGCGGCGCTAGACGGACTCGGTAGCTTTCTTGGCAATCGATTCCCGTTGGCCTCGAGGGCCAAATAAAGTAAATCGATCCAGTCAAGATAAAGCCGACGCCGGAGAAGGGCTTCGCTCTGCTCGGGAAGCCGAGCCCAGACCTTGGCGGCCAAAAACGGCGCGGTATCGGCGATATACCGCCCTAAAAGCCCGTCGGTTAGAAACGCATGACGATAAAGATGCGGCGTTCTAGCAGATCCCCCCTCCCAATGCAAAGCGGGCGGGGGTGAAGACACCGGTGGGGGGCTGATGGTGGGGAGGCCACGCACGAAAGCCAGGCGTCTCAAACAACGCAGGACCCCAAGGCAGTCGTCGCCGTCGTAGCCGTGATAATTCTCGCCCATCGCGATCCCAATCGAGACCTCGAGCCCCGGGGCCTCGATCTCGAGCGTCGCCAGGGCGAAAAGCAGTAAAAGCGCCGAGCGCGGTGGGAGCCCCACGACCGAGGCCGTCGGGATCTGCCGGTGGAGTTGGAGGACTTCGGAGACGCCGTCCGCGCGGCGATTCGCGGCCTGCCAACGCAACGTCAGCGCGGGATTGCGGGGGGCCGAGAGAAAAGGCCCACGGGCGATGTCGGCTATAAAAGACGGAATCGCATTCACCCCGGAATCGCCCCTCAGGGGGTGGCCCGAGCCTGTAGGACGGCGCACGATCACCGGGATCCCATCGATCTGGAGGATCTCCTCATCGCCCTGGTGCGCCTGAGAAAGCCCGGGAAAGGAGTGCGATCGCCCACGCGCGTCGGGGGAGGCGTGCGCGCAAAGCCCAACCATCCCGCGCGGTATTAATCCCGTCGTCCGCAGCGCGTCCTCGCCATCCCAGGCGTCCCGCAGGGCCAAAACCCGCCTGAGGAGGGGATCCAAAGCGTCCTCGCCGAAGATCGGCCCCGCGGGCTCGAGCGCGTCCTGGCGTTTGTGGTGGGTGCGGCTGAGGCCGCGGCCGCGTTGCCGCCCCCACGGGGCCACCCAAAGCGTCGTCGGATCCGTCATCAGCCGGACCGCGGCGTAGGCCGAGCGCGGCGCTTTGCCGCCCCCCGCCACGTCGGAGCAGCGGAACTCCGCGCGAAAATAATTCGCGAAGGGCCGTTGGGCCTTTTTGATGTTCTTCCGACTCGCGTTTTGCCGCGCCCCCACCCCGGCATCGAGCAGCTGGTGCGAGGTAAGCCCGGGGGTGAGCCAGGAGGGCCGGTAGGCGCTCTGTTTTTGGTACCGCCGGCGGTGAAAAGGAAGTGCGGGGGTTATGAAGCTTCGACGCATGAAGGGAAGGGGGTGTTTTAGTGAGTTAACGGTGTATTAGAATACAACAACCTCGGCAATCGGCATAAAGAGGCTTGAAAAACGAATAGAAAGGTTTTGATAGGGCGGGTACTCAAAAACTAAAAATGGAGAATCAATTCGTTCGTTGTAACGTTGTTACTTGGAATCTTACTTATAAGAAGGAGCAAATAATAATGGTACTCTATGTATTTATTGGTATTATTAGCTCTAGATGTAAGATCTATCCCCTTCACTCTATGTCTATATATATATATATAATATTAGTCGTATGCCGCCGATAGAATTTGATGCACCTCAGTTACGTGCAAGGCGAATAACCATAAATATCTGTCCTCAAAGCACCCTTCGGTGCTCTTTCGTAGTGGTTAAAAAATATACACCAAAGGGAGGATGAAACGAAGAGAAAGTGAACCTTGTAGTTGAGGCTTACCTCGGCATGCGGTTTGCTCGTGCACCATCATACAAAGTGGTAGTCACCAAAACATGGAAAGATGTGCAGTTAATCGCTACTTATCTTTAGTAATAAAAAAAAAAACGAGGCACTTTTTAACAATAATATATATATGTATATATATATATATATATATTGGCAACCAAAAGGTATCAAGAAAATGTTAAAGCGTTTCCAAATGCAAGCTGAAAGTATCACTAGAATGTAATAAATATCAAAAATAGACTTAATAATAAAACACAGGAATGAGTTGTTTCTATCGAAAATAATAGCATTATGCTCCATTGCATAGGACTACATGCTTAAAATTTTATGTTTCTTCTGTCCTAATGGTGTACCTATGCATAGTTTCCTTTTTTGGTAATTCCATATGCCGGGTGGTTATCCTTCCAGTCTTGCCAGGCGCTGTCTTTCTTCCGCTGCCGCTCCTCGACGCCCTCCGGGCCGAGGCGCTTCTCCTCCTCCGCGGCCTCCGCCTGGGCCGCGAGCGCCTCCGACATATCGCGCTGCATTGCCGCCATCTCCTTCTGCGCAAACTCCTCAAGCGTCAAGGTGGTGGGATTACGATCGGTCATCAGTTCATCGCGCACTTGCTGTCGAAATAGCTGCGTACTCGACTTCGCATTCATCGCCTGGCTATTCATTACCCCACCCACCAACGCCCCGGGCGGCGGTTCAAGGACGGAATCGATCGACTGCGGATTATGCAAACTCCCCGCCATCATCATCCCGCCCGGTAGGATCGTATAGGTATGCCGGCCAAGGGACAGCTCGCCCGCGCGCACGGCCTCAAGAGTCCGCTGGTAGTCCGCGGCGATGGCCCCCCGCTGTTCGGTGGAAATCGCCTCCAACATCTCCAACTCCCGCCCCGAGAGCTGAAGTTGATGGCAGGCATCGTAGCCGGACCAACGCAGCCGCGCGAGCCCTCGCTCCCGCAGCAGCTCCTCCTCCTCCCCACCGTCCTCCTCGACGGCCTCGCCGTTCTCCGCCATCAACTCCCGCATTCGACGACGTTTGGCGCGCTGATAGTTCACCTTGGCCTCGCACTCCCTGAGTTGTTGGCGAAGCTCACTACAAGTGCGGGAAAGTTGAATCCGCAGCGTGCGCTGGTCAGGACGATAGATAGAGAACGTCTCCACCTCACGCTTCGCCATCAAATCGGTATTCGCCAGCCATTCAAAAAAAACCTGAAACCACGCATGGGACCGTGTAAGGGCGTCTTGTCGAGAAAGCCCACCCAAATCGACCGCACTCGTCTCGACCAAAATCGCATCCGTCGGCTTTTCCCCAACGTGATTGTAGTCAAAATGGCCGCCGTCCTCGTTGTTGGATTTACCGTCGGAATTAACCGCATGGTGGGAAGAATTGAGTCCAGTTCTCAGACATGCCGGACTTGTCTGCAGAGCTGCTGCGGAGGTCGATGATGGCAAAGACAGACCCTTGCCGCTCAATTCGGATGGCCCACTTGGGGACGCCTGGAAACGCTGATAAAGGTCAGCCAGAATATACGGCACCCACAAGAATTCTAAAGCGGCAGTTGTGTAGTCATCTAAATTATCGTTCATGGAAAAGGCGCCAACCGCACCTATTCGTCTCCACAACTCCTCAAACTGCGCAATAAGATTGCAAAGAAATCTCTGGTGGGCGGGGTTGGAACTCTCGAAGCTACCATTAAAAACCTTAGAAACGTATTGCTCACTCAAATAGTTGAAGTACCCCTTGACGGTCATGCCGTCTGTGTCGATGGATGACGCTGACGCGCTCATTTTTTCCCCTACCGCACCTCTCAAAAATAATAAATCTATTAGTGACCAAAAACTAATGCAGCCCCGAAAAAGTAGTATAACGACCACGTTTGCGATGTTTTTATGTTCTCTAAATTGTGTTGGTGGATGTGACTAGTTCGAAATATGAAATTTACGTCGGGAATGAATATCAAATACAATAAAGCGAAAGAAATAAACACTAAACATTAAAACCTCATTGCGCATCATGCGCCCACACACAAAAAAAAAAAGGAAAATAATATGGCAGATCAACCACGCACTAAAATTTTGAAGAAATTGACTATGTAAATAAGTATGCTAAAAATTATGATATTGAGTGTATACCGAATCTATGTATCAAAACCTAAATGCTAGTGAAAACAAGCTCATCGATTCCATCCGTTCTTTTCATTTGTGCGTTCCTATTTTGGTTTGTGGATCTCCCCCTTTCCTATCTCCCAGCACAGATCTCAGTCCGTGTAGCGTGGCCCTGGATCTGGGTGCCTTTTAAACGCCATAGTAACCAAAGGATGGTCCATCATAATATCCTGACGATGTTTCTGCATCGGAGAAAGAGTCTTTCGCGTCTGATGAAACTGATTCTTCCCTTTCACGTCCTCGCTTTTCGAGGCCCCAGAATCATCCGCTTTCGAGCCCTTCTCGAGATCCTCATCGGTAAACCTGGTTCCGGAATCTGGACGCCCCTGCGAAAAGTTAGAGAAAGGTGTGGATCCCCTTGGCGTCGATGTCCCCATCGTCTTCTCCCAGCCCTGCATTTCCTCCTCATCTTGGATAAAATCCTCCGGGCGAAGCCGCGCCGCGCGTTGGGCGAATCGCTCCGTCCACAGCTCCGACGCCTCGCGTTTGCGCATCCGCAGTGCGCAGCGCCGCATCGTTGTGCAGAGGGCCACCCGCATCGCCGTCCGCGAGGGCGCCGGGAGTGGGGTGTTTTGGCGGTCCTCGAGCAACCGCCAAAGCCCCTCCGCGCCCCACAGGGCCTCCTCACACTCCTCCGGCCGCGCACTGTTGCCCAGCTCGAGCAGCAGCTGGCTTTCGAGACTCAGAAGGAACAGGGGGGGGGCCCCGGCGGAGCGCTTCTGTGCCAGCTCCCGCCGCAGCTCCCACACCCGGTTCCACAGCCCACCACTGCGACGATAGAGGCCCCTGAGAGAGGGCCCAGTCCGGTACATCGCGCCTACGCCACCGCCCAGTGCTCAAAACAGTCCTACCGAGATGTAACAGGCACCCACCCACAAAAAAAAAGACAGCGAAAAGGACGTGTGTGGGAAATAAGAGAGAAAATGACTGACAGCACCGTTGAACTCGTCCATGTAACAAATCGGAGACGTTTTTTTGAGGCGCTCCCTTCCCTTCTCTTATGCCCATAGGGCGCAACGTATCAGGGCACGCTACGGCGATCCTTCCGTGAAGGACCCGGGGCGAAGTGACCCAACAGTGTATTATTAGTTAGCAAAAAAAATAAAGTAAACAAAAAAATGCGATCGATCTGTGACGGGAAGACAAAAATGGTTAGCACAAAACAAAGTATACACCACAGGGTTCTTTCATCTTCGGTATTACTGCCTTCAGTGGCTCACTGCATCATCTCATTTTCCGTCGCCTCCACATCCTGGTCGAAGTCTCGAACCTCCGCCTCATCCACCACCTGTAGCGTCTCGTCTAGCAACGCACAAAAATTACTAACGTAGACGCTTTCCTTAATATTCATGGGCCTGAAGGTCACTAAATTGAAATCATCGATGATGGTGCTGAGCTGGCGCACCATCCTCCGCCACTGCGGTGGGAGCCGGGAGAGATCTAAGTGGTCGAAATCACACATACAAAAATGCTCGAGCACTTCTTCCTGAAATGCCGGATCGAGTAAATCGCACTTAGTGAGCACATTAATAAAAGGGCACTCGAAGCACACCATGCTAGAAAGCGAGAAAAGGCAACCCGCGATGAATTTTCCGCCGTCGACAGTGGTCGCCAGTGCGTCTAAAAGGTAAAGCACCACCGTGTAATAACCCTCCTGCTGAAGAAACCTTACGAAGGCCGGCACGGCAGGGTGGGTTGACGACACCTCGACCTGCCCTGGCATGTCGAATATCACAAAGTCCTCCGCATAATCGCCGAGTTGTTCACGCAGCCACGTCAGCCCCGTCGTCACGAGATACTCCATGCAGAAGACGAGCCCGCCATTCGGACCCAGCCCCTTCCCCTCCATCGCATCCTCGAGGGAAATCAAATCTCGCACGTCGATTGAGGGAGAGTACGACAGCTCCTCCACCGCGGGATCCATGTTGGCGATGTGCGTTGAGCGTCCTTTGCAGGCGTAATGCTCCGCCAGAACCTCACAGAGTGTGCTCTTGCCCGAGCCCGCGGGGCCCACGACGATGATGGCATACTTTCCCATCGCACTATAGGATTGTTATATGAATAACAAAAAAAAAAAGTAGCTTGTAACTTTACTTATAGGCGAGCGCAAAGAAGTCGAAGTAAAAAATATATAAAAAGAGGCGGTAAAAATGAAATAAGAAAAGGGAGTAAAAAAAGTATTAAAAAATATAGCAAAAGAGGCGATTTGACTAAAAGGCTAATGATACGACCTCTTTTCCCTCCTCTAACAAGATCTTCCAAATATTTTATGGGATATCGCTACGCCATCGTATCGAAGTATATTCCCATGCGTTTTTTTTTAGGCCACCTCCCATCCTAGAATACCTCGATTCCTAAGAGGGAGGGTTCACACTTAATGTCATCCTTTTCCACAACTTTTACTTCCGCTCACGCGCGCGGCGCTGCAATTCCCGAGCCATCCCCTCCTCCGACGCCAAACCGTAGCTCTCGCGGCCGCGTTTCTCGGTCCCGGATTCCCCACCAACTCGGGTCTTTTGCAAGTCCTCCACGCGGATTTTTTCCCCCCTCTCGGCGTCGACGAAGTATTCGATGCCACGACGCACTGGGGCGACCACGCGGGCGGTGTAATGCTCCGCCACCACCACCCCCCCCTCCCCCGCGGGAGAAGAGGGAAAGGGGGCCGTCGGGTCCTCCCCCTCCTCGCCCGATCGCGCGTCTTTGTCCTCGACGGGGTGGACCAAATCCGAGCTCAGGTAGACCGGCCGAAACCCCGGCACCTCCCCGGGGGGGCGGAGGGTTTTGGGGGGCTCGGAGAGCCCCGGATGCCCCCTGTTTGCTCGATTGTCCTCGATCCCGCCATCCCGCGCCCCCCCAAGAGCTTCCGGCAAGGGGCCATCGAGGAATAAATCCCCCAGGCTGAAGCTTCGAAGGACCTCAAAAAAGCCCCACTGCAGCTTCGCCTGGAGCTCCTCATCGGTCAATAACGCGGCTTTGCGTCGCGCCACGGCCGCGTGGATGTAGGCCGTCTTCGCCGCCAAGACGGTCCGCAAGACGTACTCCCGCTTTTGGAGATTCTCCAGCCGCGTTTCGGTTTCGTCCTCTGGGAAATTCAAAATCCGTTTGTAGGATTCCACCAGGGCGAGAAACCCCTCGTGCCGCACATCCTCCGTTTTGAGAAAGCGAAAGGCGGGGTTGTGCTTTTGTTTGGACTGAACCGCGATGAGAAAACTCTCGCCGAACTTGGCCACATATTGGGCCGTGCAGGACATCGTATCCATCACCAACGCCGGGATATCGAGCGAACCGCCTTTGAAGTTAAAGGAATAGTAATTCGGAAAAGGGTCCTCCAGGTAGCGCTTCGCCCTTAGCTTGGCCTCCCGCAGAAGTTTCTCGCGTTTGGGATCTTGCTGGGGGTGGGTGCTCCCCATCGTCCGCACGATGCCATCCGCGGTAATGGTGGTGGTGGTTTTTAAACCCCCATTCGGATCCGACCCCCCGCTGGCCTCGCTGGTCGAGGCCGTCTTCTTTTTCTCGGGGACGCGATCCGGGTTCTGGCGAAACTCCGTTAGTTTGCTCAAAAAGTAAGGATAGAAGATATGGGAAAAGTCCACGTAAAGGTACTGGTTGCGTTTCTGGGAAGCCAACAACTTGGCGATCATCTCATCGGCTTTGCGCTTATCTAATGTGCTCAGTCGAGCGGCGAAGTTGTCAACTTTCTCGCGCAGCTCCGGTCCTGGGATGACTATACTTGAGGGTGACTCCGCCTCCAACTCCATTGCATACGAAATCAATCAAGCCTATTTTATTTTTCCTCGCAGATAATAGTATTTCTAAGAAAAAAATGATAGTAGAACCTTGAGATTGTTTCCTTTTTTAACCCTTGGATAATATTGAGAAGCTATTTCGAAACAAACCCTGCTAGGGGAATAACTCAAGGACGCACACCTCAAGTGGGAATTATACATATAAACACCTATTTATACATTATTGGTAATATGCATAATGCACAGTCCAGATTGAGATCCTCTTTATTTATTTATTTGTTTTGAGTGAATTTGTATTAGAATCAACTCAAAAACGCTTTCCCATATGACTTCTTCTATATCAAACGATTACAAATAATTATCTTCAAAAAAAAGTATGGGACATAGGACATAAATATTACAATCTGAATTTTTTTTTTATGGATATATAGCGATATATATATTTAAGTTAAAAAAAAACAATAGAAAAATGTCTGGTTCCACCAAAAGGTAAAAAAAAAAAGGATAGACCGAATGGGGTGATATACGCCTCTCACCCAGCCGAGAACTCCATTTTGATTGCGTCCAACTCAGGCGAATTCACATCCACCAGAACCAGCGTCCCTGTCTGAGTGAAAGAAGGTACGCAAATAAGGCGCACCCCGTCGTTGTCGTCCTCCTCTTCATTGAGGGCCAACATGTCATCGGGAGACCCCCTCACCCTCCCATCCGTGGTTGAAAAGGCCCTCGTGGCATAGGTGGAGGAGCCATCATAAGAAGTACTCTCACGCTCCAACTCCGCCAACCGAACGTACCGGGTTTCAAAACAGGGCTGATCGCAGGCCACAAAACAGTGCGGAATTTGTCTAAACAAAAAAGGATCCTCATCCTTAAAAGGATAGCTGAAAAGAGTATTCGGCGCGGTAGGGCAAGCGCAACCGGAGGCTACCATCAACGACATCACCTCCAAACGAGAATCCAACCGTGTTTGGCGAGCGACATCGTTTACATTCTGTCCGGAAGCTACAAAAACCAAAGCCTCCCCACTTCGTGTTGAATCCTGAATCTTGGTATTCGGATTTATCTCGTTCTGCTCCATAATTGCCGTTTGCTGCGAAGTAAGGACAGAAAACTCAAAGGGGTTGCTTACTAAGCGCAAAGATGAGTACCGAGAGGCGTTCGGCAGAAGCAGTGGATGAAGAGGTTGCTGTGGTTGAAAAGTATTGGAAGGGTCGTTATCACCCGGCATTAACTCGACCTCAACACTACCTGCAAGTTGAGCTAAAATCCCATCCAGTTTCTGCATCAACATGGTTGACGTCTTCAGTCCCGTATTCGTCTTATCATTAAGTCGCTTCTGGTCCGAATGATCCAGCATAATCTTCGACCTTAGTTTTAATTCCTCGGTTGGGGCAATGCTATTTCCGCCAATGACTAGGCGAGAAATATAGCGCGACTTATCTAAAGCCTCGGGATCGCTCACATTACCCTCAATAAAGTCGACTAACAACTCGAGCAGCAATTGGGCCCGAAGCGCCTCCTCCACATCCCCATTTTCACCATCCTTTCCTTGAAAGGATGGCAAATCCACGTTTAGACAACACACAAACGCGATATAACAAGGAGGAAGCCGAACCCCCGGCATCAGCGTCCGCGCCACGTAAAGTTTCCGCACCGATGCAAAAGCGTATTTGTGCACCTGCAGCGTCCCGTTGGGCTGCAAAGTCCCGTAGATGCCTAAAATAATCCCCGTGCAAAAACATCCGGGAGGGAGTCCGTGCAAAACCACCCGCCCGCTGCTATCCTCCAACGTCAACTCGTCCATCGAACTGCAGGGGTTGGGATGGTCCCCTGCGGTCACCCGGGTTGGGCCCCCATCCTCAACCGCCCCCACCATCTCCTCAAGCAGCTCCGTCATTCCCTCAGCCTCGGCGTCGTTTTCGTAATCCCCGGCATCAATGCGAACGAGCTCTTGCTGATACTTGTCTAGAAACCGCGGTAGATGCTTCATCTGCTTGTAGAGCACCCCCGCACAGAGCGATGGGACGCCGACGGCGAGCTCGAGCACGCGTTTGGGGGTCTTCAAAGTATCCTGCAGGCCATCGCTCGAGTGGAAGTCGGGATCCCCCTTCACCGCCTCACGAATGGCGGCAATCGCCTCACCGTACTGCACCTTCATGCGGCAGCGATACATCGACGCGTACTGTTGTGTAAAACACAACGTTTTTAAAAGAAAACGTTTGTGTGCACGATAAATTGGACATCCGCAACGCTTCTGCTCTAATTGCCCTTGTGTTCGGTCTTGATTAGCCATATCCTATAAATATCCGCTGTAGTTTACTTATAAGCCTTTTTTTCCTCGCATTGAGCGTTGTCGAAGAGATTTTATATTTACCTTGATAGAACCTCGACCTACCCTTTTCCCTAAGTGATAAGTGGAGTTATGCGTGCCGCACAGCTGGATTAAAAAAAAAAACTGAATAGTGTTTGGACAAAAAAAAAGAATTCAGATTTCTAAAGTATTACACATTACCGCAAGAAGGAGTGTAGAATCAATGACTTCTTAGAAACCACATCCTCTGGCCGAAGGCCTTTATTGTCACAATCTTTAAATAATCGACTCTTTTACCCAATTAAGCTTACCTTATTAAAAATATTCAAATAGGAGAGGTTATTATGTAAATTGTATAAGATCCATCCTCGGAAGGCATAATACAAGGTTAACAAAAACCATCTCAGCATGTATTACACTCTGATCATTACTTATCAAAATAAGATTCCCCGGTCCCATTTAAAAAAAAAGACATACAGAATAATAAACCTTTTATATTTCTATTTATTCGTCATCGCCCATCGGCAGTGGAGCGTTCTCCAGTTCGAACTGCTGCCTCTGGACCTCAGCTATCTGCTCAGGAGACATGGCCACCGCACTCACATCCAAAGGCGGTAGCTCTACCAGCTCCAGGTTGGGATCATTCGCCAACTTCTTTGCGATCCACACAAATGGCTTCTCATAGTGGTAGTTTGACTTGGCGGAGATATCAAAATATTGCAAACCCCTCTTCCGATGAAATGTGATCATCTTCGCCTTCACCTGACGATCTGCACAGTCTACTTTATTTCCTACCAACACGATGGGAATATTATCACACACACGCGTAATATCACGGTACCAGTTTGGAACGTTCTTATAGGTATTTCGGCTGGTCACGTCAAACATGATAATCGCGCACTGTCCTTCGATGTAATAACCGTCGCGGAGCCCACCAAACTTCTCCTGACCGGCCGTATCCCAACAATTAAAACAAATCTTCCCGCGGTTGGTGTAGAAAGTGAGGGGATGCACGTCCACCCCGACCGTCGCCACGTAGCGCTTCTCAAACTCCCCGGTGAGATGACGCTTTACGAAGGTCGTCTTTCCTGTCCCACCATCGCCAACAATGATAAGCTTGAAAACAGCCACACAATCAGAATGGGGTTGTTGCTGCTGCTGCATTATCACAGAAGTACAAGTGTATTTGATTTATAATGAAGGTTAGGTATAAAAGTATAGTCGGATGCTGCTCTTAAAATATAAGTCAGAGTCCCTATAATAATAATACTTTGTTACAAAAGCACAAAATCTTGAACTGAACCACCATGGGAAAAAGTAAGAATTCAAGAAAGTAGATATATTGGAATAATAAAAACAAGCATCAAGAGCCCTCGCATAGAAGTAATTTAATCCATTAAAAGGGAAAACTACAAATGCGTCAATGACACTTAAAAGATATTTAAAAGGGTACTACTATCTGACATTGATCACATATGAAAATTAAAAAAATGTAATAATAATAATAATGAAAAACAATAAAACACCATATTCCACTGAATTTTTTTGGTAGTCATCTTCGCGCGTTTTTCTACAGAGTAGCTACCCCCTTTCTCAAAAAAAATGGAGGGTTCCTGCAGTTTACTCCTCACCCTTGAGGAGTGTTCGTACGGATTCAGCCCCTCACCATAGTACAAAGAAGCAAGGCTGAGCACAGCCCTCACCACACTTTATGAATTTAAGAAATCCCGAACACGGGCAAAATGGGAATTTAAAAAAAAATACCACATCGCATTGCCAATTTCTAATCTCAACGAATTGACTCAACAGCACGACAATACCAGAAGAAATACACATAAGTATAATCATTGATAAAATATTTTTCCCCTTTAATTCCATTTTTTGATACACAATATGATTATTGAATTCTGTTTTTGAAGGGGTTAACGAGTAAAAATATGTCTCATATAGATACATGTTATTTCATTCCTAAGTATTCCCTAGATATCGCTTTCCTCGGATGAGGAATTCTCGTCGCTGTCCTCGTCGTCGCTATTGTCGTCGTCATTACTTGAGGTGGACATATCATCGGAGTCATCATCCGAGCTAAGTATGGAGCTAGTATCTTCCTCCTCCCCCCCACCGATCCGCTTCCGCAGACCGTTCTCCGTACGCGCCGCCGGAGGCCTTCCACCGGAGGGATGTTCACGATGCATAAGATTCACCCCGGAAGGGGTGACCCCGCCATTCAGATCATCCGTATCGCTCTCGCTTTCATCAAAACTAGGTCCTTGTCGTCGCTTTGAAAGCTCGGAAGATTGCGAAGTCTGATTCAACCCCGTGGCGTTTTGCATTCTAAACCGACCGCCACCCACCCCACCGCTGCTTTCCTTCGTATCTGTTAAGTCATCCTCGTCGGTATCGCTAATGCTGCTGCCTTCCTCCGCGGCATTCCGCACGCAGATTCGCCCGTTCATATCGGAGTCAAAATCCTCATTGGCGGAATTGCTCCCATTATTGATATGCGGAATAAAGCCTTTCCCGGCTTTTCCCCCGTGAAGGGCCTCGAGCTCTTCCTTACGCAGCCGCTCTCGCATCACACTCAACACCGTCTGTTGTTCCTTCAGCAAGGCATCCTCCTTGGCGTTGAACTTAGCGAGCTGGTATTCAAGATACTCTAAATTGCGATACTGCTCGAGATACTTCACAAACTGGCCTTGAAGTTCGCCTTCGTATCGATCGTACTCCTCAATAAACGCGGGGCGGACGGTCATGAGGGATTTGTACCGCTTTTGGGTCCGCTCCAGCTGCGTTTTTTTGCTTTCGATCTTTTGCTCGAGGTTGTTCTCATCCGCGTTGAGGTTCGCGATGGTTTGCTGAAGCTCCTCAACTTTTTGCGAGACTTTGGTCAGCAATTCCTTCAAACGCCGCTCGAACTCGTCAACCTCGGTCGCGCGCGAAAGCACGCGCTGCCGCTCCATCCGCGCTTTCATCTCCGTCCCGATGTAATCATACAAACTGCCCGCATCGGTGGTGAGTCCACTGCAAAGCCCTTGAATCGTCCTCAACTCCAACACGCTTTTCTGCGCGGCCATTTGCTGAATGGCGGCGAAATCGGGCTCCTCCTCCCCGGTCGAACGCATCGCGTCTTTTAAAATCTGCGTGAGTTTGAGCATCTCCTGCACGGCGTGACCGTCAGCCTGGTATAATTTTTTGATATTCAGCTTTAACCGCGCCCTCGCCAGGACGGCCTCACAGACCTGCTTGAAGAACTGCACGCGGTCGTACTCCCGCTCGATCGTGTAAATCACCTCCGAGGAGGGCTCATAGCGCTTGAGAAGCCAAAAAAGACAATCGGCAACCAACTCGACGTTCGGGGTCCGAAATGATTCCATGCTGATGAGATTGGGATACCCCAGCAGCCGCATGGATTCGGTAAACAGGCGCAGTTCACGGTAAGACATTTGTAATTTAGTTTGAGAAACTTCAGTATATAAGAATTAATAAAAAATAAATATTATATATATATATATATATATATATATATATATATAAT